AAAAAAACTTCTAAAAGTTTTCCGTAAGGAATCCACTGGGAAAGTGGAACCAAGGAAAGTGGAACTGGGAAAGTGGAACCAAGGAACCCCCCCCCCCCACACACACACACACATTATTCTTAGGCAGTAATCTAATCTCCAAAGACATAGAGTTCCAGCTTCTTGTCGTGCTTCACTTAAACTATTTTTGCCTGACAAAAAGCTGAAGCAAACCCAAAGCTGCTGTCCCAAGCGTTCAAGGAAATGCAGCATAAACAGTTTTTAAATAAACCAGGCTGTCACTGCAAACTTTGTCCCCATGTTGGACTCACGTGCAAGGGATGGTTGCTACAAACATCTAAAGTCTAATGTTTTCCTTGAATCCCTGGCCTCATCTACACTGAACACTTAAATCAGTTTCAAGACGGTATAGAAGAAAGCAATTTCACTGTGCAATGATTACATATGAAATCCTGGAATTAGTTTGAAGACCAGGTGATTATACAAACCACCAAATCTGGCCTTGAACCGGTTTCAGGATCCATGGTTTGACAGCCCCTAAGAATGATTTTTTAAAAGAAAAAAAATCCCAACCAGAATGCACATCTGCACAATAGCAGAGTGCTTTGGGTGCCTGCACAGCGATTCACATTCTGCAGAGCCAATTTTGCTTTGAAATGGAGTTTATACTGGAGTACCATAATGCACATTAAGGGCTTTCTTTTGGACTTTCCCCTTTGTTTATGTTGGTTTAAAGTCCTTAAAGCACGCTACAGCATGCTTTAGCAGCATGCATTTTCTAACCGCCACAGTTTGAAGCTAGCTAGTAACTGAATCAAATATAGATGGGGCCCCTGTCTATTTTACAGTCTCTAAAAACTAGTCATGGGAGAGAAGCTAAAATCTGATCATGCCTTTGAAATGTGCACCAAATGTCTTAGCAAAAAATAAATGACACTCTATCAAAAATGTTGCAGATGTTGAAGTATATTCATCTGTGTAATCATGCAATGGTGAAGTGTGTGGGTACGTGCATACATGTGTCTGCATACATGTGTGTGGAGTTTGTTTCAAAAAGGTACCAACTCCAACTGGACATATTTTACAGGAATTAAAAAAAACATGCTGAGGATATGCAATAAAATGCAATTTTCCAAGTCCTATACTGAAGTGAATTGATACATGTTGATAGTTTGATCTGTATTCTACTCACAGCCAACAATGTGCTGCCACATAGAACTCCCCCCCCCCTCTCTATATATAATTGTGTTGTATCCTCATGGTTGCAAGCTGCAATATTATTGATCAGATATTATTTATTTATTTATTTGCAGTATTTATATTCCGCCCTTCATACCCCAAAGGGAACTCAAGGTGGATTACAATGCACATATACATGGCAAACATTCAATGCCATTTAGACATACAACATATATAGACAGACATAGAGGCAATTTAACATATCAGCATTTCCAACTTCATGAGGGTATGCTTGTTTCTGGTCACAAGGGGAGCTGCCACTTCACTGTCCACTTGTGACACTGGGTCCTTTGATGAAGTACTTCCTCATTCTTCTACATGCTGCAGGAAGGTTTAATGACGTCGTTAAATTAGCCTCCCCGCAAAAAGCGGTACCTAAATTTCCTACTTGAGAGATCCAACTGTCTTTCGGGCTTCATAGGTTGACAGCAAGCTAGACTATTAATGGTTGGGAGCTTACTCTGACCCAGGCTGGCTTCGAACTCAGGACCTCTCAGTCAGTAGTAATTTAAGGCAGCTCGCTACTAACTAGCTGCGCCACAGCCGGGTCCATATTCTATGTTACTTTGTCATGTACTTGTAACACATAGATAGATAGTATGCTTGATTGCTCCAAAAAAACAAAAGATTCAAAACTCGTTTTGGATATAGGGGGTGCTGGTGGTTCAATTCTGAAGTCACTTCCGAATTTTTCCAAAAGAAAGTCAGAACTTTCCGAAACTTCCACAATTTAGTCAGCACCTATTGTGTTTAAGTGCAGGCCAAGGTCTTTAGGCTCTGGGACCAGCTTTACTGGCTTGTGCCAATTTTTGCAGTTCTATCTTTAAATCATTGTATCGTGTCAGCATTTCCAGTTGTTTATTATTATTTGAAACACAACTAGGGGGTTGAGAAGGGTGGGGTAAAAATACCCTAAATAAATAAATAAATAAATAAGTTAAAAACACTGAGCTGCTGAACTTGCTGACTGAAAGGTTGGTAGTTCAAATCCTGGGAGCAGGGTGAGCTCCCGTAGTTAGCCCCAGCTTCTGACAACCTAGCAGTTCAAAAACATGCAGATATAAATAGATCAAGAGGTAGCGCTTCTGCAGGAAGGTAACAGTGCGCCATGTAGTCATGCTGGCCACATGACCTTGGAGGTGTCTACAGACAACGCTGGCTCTTTGACTTTGAACTGGAGACGAGCACCAACTGCCAGAGTCGGACACAACTAGGCTTAATGTCAGGGGAAAAACCTATACCTTTTACCTAATTATGGCACCACGAGATGCAGAGCCAACCTTAAGAAATGGGGCTACAAAGTGGAATCCACAACATGCGAGTGTGGATAAGAGCAAACATGAGCCAACAATGTGATGTGGCGGCAAAAAAAGCCAATGGGATTTTGGCCTGCATCAAGAGGAGCATAGTGTCTAGATCTAGGGAAGTAATGCTACCCCTCTATTCCGCTTTGGTTAGACCACACCTGGAATATTGTGTCCAATTCTGGGCACCACAATTCAAGAGAGATATTGACAAGCTAGAATGTGTCCAGAGGAGGGTGACTAAAATGATCAAGGGTCTGGAGAACAAGCCCTATGAGGAGCGGCTTAAGGAGCTGGGCATGTTTAGCCTGAAGAAGAGAAGGCTGAGAGGAGATATGATAGCCATGTATAAATATGTGAGAGGAAGCCACAGGGAGGAGGGAGCAAGCTTGTTTTCTGCTTCCCTGGAGACTAGGACGCGAAACAATGGCTTCAAACTACAAGAAAGGAGATTCCATCTGAACATGAGGAAGAACTTCCTGACTGTGAGAGCCATTCAGCAGTGGAACTCTCTGCCCCAGAGTGTGGTGGAGGCTCCTTCTTTGGAAGCTTTTAAACAGAGGCTGGATAGCCATCTGTCAGGGGTGATTTGAATGCAACATTCCTGCTTCTTGGCAGGGGGTTGGACTGGATGGCCCATGGGGTCTCTTCCAACTCGATTTTATGATTCTATGATTAGCAGTTCAAATCCTGGGAGCAGGGTGAGCCCCCGCTGTTGGCCCTAGCTTCTGCCAACCTAGCAGTTCAAAAACATGCAGATATGAGTAGATCAAGAGGTACCATTTCTGCAGGAAGGTAACAGTGCTCCATGCAGTCATGCTGGCCACATGACCTTGGAGGAATTTACTTAGGTGTCTTTGACTTATAACTGGAGATGAGCACTAACCGCCAGTTGGACACGACTAGGCTTAATGTCAGAAGAAAAACCTTTACCTTTTACCTAATAACGGCACCACGAGATGCAGAGCCAACCTTAAGAAATGGGGCTACAAAGTGGAATCCACGACATGCGAGTGTGGAGAAGAGCAAACTACAGACCACCTGCTGCAATGCAACCTGAGCCCTACGACATGCACAATGGAGGACCTTCTTGCAACACCAGAGGTACTCCAAGTGGCCAGATACTGGTCAAACGAAATGCAAAGATACAGGATGGGGGACGATGCCTGGCTCCAGAGCAGTAAGTGTGAAAAAGATCTTGGGAGTCCTTGTGGACAACAAGTTAAACATGAGCCAACAATGTGATGTGGCGGCAAAAAAAAGCCAATGGGATTTTGGCCTGCATCAATAGGAGCATAGTGTCTAGATCTAGGGAAGTAATGCTACCCCTCTATTCTGCTTTGGTTAGACCACACCTGGAATATTGTGTCCAATTCTGGGCACCACAATTCAAGAGAGATATTGACAAGCTGGAATGTGTCCAGAGGAGGGCAACTAAAATGATCAAGGGTCTGGAGAACAAGCCCTATGAGGAGCGGCTTAAGGAGCTGGGCATGTTTAGACTGAAGAAGAGAAGGCTGAGAGGAGATATGATAGCCATGTATAAATATGTGAGAGGAAGCCACAGGGAGGAGGGAGCAAGATTGTTTTCTGCTTCCTTGGAGACTAGGACGCGGAACAATGGCTTCAAACTACAAGAGAGGAGATTCCATCTGAACATGAGGAAGAACTTCCTGACTGTGAGAGCCGTTCAGCAGTGGACTCTCTGCCCTGGAGTGTAGTGGAGGCTCCTTCTTTGGAAGCTTTTAAACAGAGGCTGGATGGCCATTTCCCCCCTCCCCCCCCCCCTAAAAAATATAGATACTTCCTCACTTCCTCCCTTGTTGGGTGCAGTGTGGTGGAGGCTCCTTCCTTGGAAGCTTTTAAACAGAGGCGGGATGGCCATCTGTCAGGGGTGATTTGAATGCAATATTCCTGCTTCTTGGCAGGGGGTTGGACTGGATGGCCCATGAGGTCTCTTCCAACTCTATGATTCTATGAAAGGACATTTAACGAACTACCAAGCTTGCAAACTTTGTGTTTTGTTTGTTTGTTAAAAAAAATGCAATGCAACTGTTTGGTCTGCCCCTAACACGATAAATAAATACCTAATAATAATAATAATAATAATAATAATAATAATGCCACCCCAGCCCCTTCCTTTTGTGGGTGTCCCTAAGAAAATAACAAGCCACCCAAGGCCAGATTAGTTTACTAGAGGGGGGAAAAAACAGATTGGGAGGAAAATCCCAAGAAGGAATGGTTGGGCCTTGTTTTGTCTTTCTTCTCAAGGGGCAAAGATTGAGACAAGGGGGGGGGGGGGGGTTGGGGTGGCTTCTCCTGAGTCACATAACAAGCCGTGGAGAAGAGAAGTACTTTCCCTGGTGTGGAAAAAAAAAGCACCAAGTTTCCGAGGGAATTCCTCTCTGGCTGGCTGGGCTGGGAAATTCCCGCCGCCAGGCTCCTCCCCGCCGAGAAATCCCCTTCCAGGCGAGGCGCTATAGGCCCGAGCCAGCCCCGCCCGCCCGCCTTTCTCTCTCGCTTCTCCTCCTTCAGGCACACTTCTCTCCTCTCCTCTCCTCCTGGACATGCTCAGCCCTGCTCTGGATCTCTTCGCCATGGAGGCCCCGAAGAAGGAGCGCCAGCTCGACCAGGACCGCCATGACAGCGGCCTGGACTCTATGAAGGATGAGGAGTATGAAGATCTGGTTCGGGAGCTGGAAGGCATCCGTTTGCAGCCGGTTCTCCCCGACGTGGCGGCTCCTCAGGCGGCTTGGAAGCAGCAAGTGACCGAAGATGGAGATACGTAAGTCCTCAGGAAAGAAAAGAAGGGGTTTTTGCAAAGTTAGGCCTTGGAGGTGTTTTGGACTACAACTCCCAGCATGCCTCACGGCCTCAGGCCCTTTCCTTTTGCAGGGGCAAAAGGAAAGGGCCTGAGGCCGTGAGGCATGCTGGGAGTTGTAGTCCAAAACACCTCCAAGGCCCAAGTTGGCCCATACCTGATCTACTTTGCCCAAGCCTGAGTTGCACCACTTTCTGTTCATTCTTTCCTTCCTCCTCCTCTTTTTTTCCCCTTTCCTCCTCCAGTTACATAAAAATCCTGGGGAATTTTCTTCTTTTTGCAAGGCTGGGTTTTTCCAGCCTTCCATTCTTCCTTTTGGGCGGGGCTTCAGGGAGGGGTGGGCGTGGCTTATTGTCCTCGAGGCGCCCGGCTGGAAAGTCCCTGGCCGCGCGCCAGGGACACCGCGCTCTCTCACACTGCTTCCTCCTCTCCTTTCGGAAAACACCCGGATGCACGCTCAGGCGCATGCGCGAGCCTTGGAAACTCCAAGCTTTCAACATCTGGTGCTGACATGAGGGATGTCTATGTGCTTCCTTTTGCCCTTGACAAAGCTGATCTCAGGGATTTTTTTTTAACATTAAGGGAATTTGGGTATGTGGTGTGTTTGGGGAGGTTTTACCTATTTTTCACTATTTTACCTACTTTCACTCTTTTATTATTATTCTGAAATTGTTGCAAATAAAAATGATTTTAATGGGTTTTTTCTCTTTTTGTGTACATTTGCAGATTTCTCCATCTGGCAATTATTCACGAGGAAAAGTCCCTGAGTTTGGAAATCATTCGCCAAGCAGAACGAGACACGGCTTTCCTGAATTTCCAGAATAACCTCAATCAGGTACTTTAAGAGAGTTGGAAGAGATGTTGTGGGCCATCCAATTCAACCCCATGGGAAATCGCATTCGAAGCACCCCCGACAGATGGCCATCCAGCCTCTGCTTAAAAGCCTCCCAAAGAAGGAACCTCCACCACACTCCAGGGCAGAGAGTTCCCCTGCTGAACAGCTCTCATAGTCAGGAAGTTCTTCCTCATGTTCAAGTGGAATCTCCTTTCTTGTAGTTTGAAGCCATTGTTCTGCGGGCAGGAGAAAACAAGGCTGCTCCCTATGATTTCCCCTCACATATTTATACATGACCCTCAATATGACTCCTCTCAGCATTCTCTTCTGCAGGCTAAATATGCCCCGCTCTTAAGCCGCTCCTCATAGGACTTGTTCTCCAGACCCTTGATCATTTTAGTCACCCTCCTCTGGACACCTTCCAGCTTGTCCCCATTTCCCTTCAATTGGGGTGCCCAAAATTGGACACAATATTCCAGATGTGGTCTGACCAAGGCAGAATAGAGAGTAAGGAAAGAATGCTTCTGGAACATGGTCATACAGGCTGGAAACCTCACAGCAAACCAGATCTTGAACTGTTATCCCCAAAGTAAACAAAAAAAAAAAATAGAATTGATAGTAGGGGACAAAGCTGATCTCAGGATTGCTAGTAGGGGACATTATCCATGCAGTTGCCCATTTGGGTTCATCTACACCAGGCACCTTCCAGCTGTTTGGACCGCCAACATGCAGTAGCCCTACGCGACTTGTTCAATAGTCAGGAATTCTGGGAGTTGGAGGGCCACAGTTTGAGGATAATGATAAGGCCCTGGGCCAGTGGTTCTCAACCTGGGGTCCCCAGATGTTTTTGGCCTTCAAGTCCTAACAGCTTGTAAACTGGCTGGGATTTCTGGGAGTTGTAGGCCAAAAATATCTGGGGACTACAGGTAGGGAATCACTGCCCTAGGCTCTTGGGAAGAGCCCGCTATTCAGAGACGAATCCCAAACACTTGGGGCCCTTCCAGGCAGGCCCTATATCCTAGGATCCAATCCCAGGTTTTCTGCTTTAAACTGGATTATATGACTCCACACTGCCAAATAATCTGGGATAAACAGAAAGCCTGGGATCAGATCCTGGGATATAGGGCCTGTCTAGAAGGGACCTCAACTTGGGGGTGCTTCATTACAAAATTAATGCAGCTTGACACCACTTTAATTGCTGGAATCGTGGGGGTTGCACTTTTGCAAGGTCTTTGCAAACAAACATGCATATCTGACCACTTCCTCATTGGAAATGGTGCTTGAAGTGAGGGTTTGAAGTCTAGTAGAATTCCTTTGCTTATCAGGCCACTCTTTTCCCTTGCAGACTCCACTCCACTTGGCTGTGATCACAGACCAGCCAGAGATCGCGGAGACTCTCCTGAAAGTCGGATGTGACCCAGAGATCAGAGATTTCCGAGGAAACACTCCTCTGCACATTGCTTGTGAGCGGGGCTCTCTCAGCAGCGTCGGTGTCCTCACACAGTATTGTCAGAAGCAAGTCTGCTCCCTCCTACAGTCATCCAACTACAATGGTAAGCTCATATCTAACACTGACGTCAACTTGCCCGGTCATTGCACACTTCGACCTCTGGCATCATAGTTTTGCCCAATGAATAAGTGACTTTCTTGGCTTGCTCTCAATAAAGATTACTGGGACAAGTGTCACGTAGTTAAGAGAAGGCATGCAGGGTTTTTCCCCCTGATCCATTCATAGCAAGTTTTCCCAGGCGTTTTGGAGTACAGCTTCTACAGCAAGCATGGGCAAACTTTGGCCCTCTGGGTGTTTTGGACTTCAACTCCCACAATTCCTAACAGCCTACCGGCAGGCTGTTAGAAATTGTGGGAGTTGAAGTCCAAAACACCCAGAGGGCCAAAGTTTGCCCACACATATTCTATAGTATGGTAATTTAGCTGTATAATTGAGACTTATGAAAGCTGGAAGTTCAAGGCATCTTCTTCCTCGCATTCATATACAAGTATGGATCCAATATCCATAGTTTCACTTGCCCAGGCTCAAGAAAATAGCCTCACTGTACCCCAAAGTGTTTGTGGGTCCTCCAGTTTCCAAGTATAGTCAAAATATTAGGTTCACTATTATCCACTGTTTCAGAAATCCTCAGAGGGTCTTGGACATTTAGATTTGCTTGTTTTTGGGGGGTAAACAGTATATTATTGTGTGTAAGTGTGTGTGTGTGTGTGTGTGTGTGTATGAATATGAATGAATATGAGAGAGCTTTATTTCTATCCCAACTTTCTCCCCATGGGGACTCAATAACATGACACAACCCAATATTTGTGTCATGAATATAAGTTAAGATACAATAAAAATACTCATACAATTAAACTAAATTTACATTTAAAACTCAATAACTATCCCAAACCCCCCCCCCCGCCCCCACCTTTTTAAGCAGTTAAAAAGTGAAGATTAATTTTAGAAGCCACATAAATGTGAGATAATTTGAATTCATCTCTGATTTGAAAATTATAGCTAGTGGATTAGAATGATTTAACATTGCATGGCACAAACTGCATGTTAATTTCCTCTCTTTTTCCACTTCACAGGCCACACTTGCCTTCACTTGGCTTCTATTCAAGGTTATCTGGCCATTGTGGAATACCTCTTGTCTTTGGGAGCAGATGTCAACGCTCAGGTGAGTGTCTGTACTTGGAAATACATAAGCAGCTCTTAATTACATGATTTAAGAAAGGAAAAAAAAGTATTTGCCAACGTATTTAATTTTTTTCTGTTCATTTTCTTAATTCAGGAACCATGCAATGGTAGGACTGCCTTGCATTTGGCTGTTGATCTTCAGAACCAAGACCTGGTGACGCTCCTTTTGAACCACGGAGCAGATGTGAACAGAGTCACCTACCAGGGCTACTCGCCTTACCAGCTCACTTGGGGAAGGAGCAACTCCTCCATACAGGAAAAGCTGAGACAGTTTACCACATTGGACTTGCAGATGCTGCCAGAAAGTGAAGACGAAGAGAGCTGCGAATCAGACTCAGAGTTCACAGAAGATGAAGTAAGTTTTTTTTAAAATTTTAGCACATGTAAAGTAGTTTTAAACTTTGAGTATGGAGAGAGTATTATTGGTTCATGACTTGCTAGTTAACAGTTTGCAGAGTTTGAGGTTGCGCTTCCTGGCAAGATTAGCTCCCCACATCACTTGTGTCTATAGAAATTATTAATATTATTATTATTGTATTGCTGAAAGCTTTTATGGGCGGAATCACTGGGTTGTTGTGAGCTTTCAAGGATGTATGGCCTAGTTCCAGAAGCATTCCCTCTTGACGGTTCACCTACATCTATGGCAAGCATCCTTAGAAGTTGAGAGGTGCCTCTGAGGATGCCTGCCATAGATGCAGGTGAAACATCAGGAAAGAATGCTTCTGGAACAAGGCCATACAGCCTGGAAAACTCACAACAACCCATTATTATTATTATTATTATTATTATTATTATTATTATTATTAATGCTCCACTTTTCTCTCTAAAAAACTCAAAGCATATACAATACAGTAAAACCCAAAAGTATACAAACATTAAAACAGAATTAAATAGTAAGGACATGTATTAATAATACTTGACTAATGTCCTTGTGTTAATGCAGCAAAACATAACAAAATATCTCTGAATAACTAGAAATACAGACACAATTCCTTTAGAGTCTTCTGCTAACTTGGTTTGTTTTCTTTTCCCTTGCCTAGCTTCTGTATGACGACTGTGTTATCGGTGGACGGCATGTGCCTTGCTGAATGTAGAAACTTGCAGAAAGAACAAGGGGACAAAATGAACAATTACAAAACTGCACTGCACTGCGCTCTGTTAAAGTGGCAGGTGCTACACAGAGTCCAATACACTGTTTGGGCATGAATGAGTTTGGGTTGTCACACACCGGAAGATGTCAAGGCCCTTTGAACGTAGGAGTGGATTGTCCAAATAACGAAGCAGAAGACAAGAATTGGAAGGCGTGCTGCCGTAGGCACTGCATGCGCTGAAAAGGGGGCTGCTCAGATCCACCATCCATTGTGTTCCTTTGGAAAGCATTCCATATATTTCTGGCCCATCCTCTTTTCCAAGGACTGAATTTAGGAGCTCAGTGCCGAACAGTAGATAGGCACATTGCAGCCCCAGTGGACGGCTGCTTGTACATCCACAAGGAGAATGTCAGAAAACACAAGAGACTCTATATTGCAAGCACTTGTGTTGGCAACGTGTATATGCTGTATATTTTGTGAATAATTTTTTTTGCTACTTGATAAATGTATATTTATTAAAAAACGTATTAAGAAATGAATTTGACTGGTCGAATTTTTACATCCTGAGGAAGAAAATCATTTTCTTTAATGCCAGCTGAAATTAAGCATCTGAAACTATTATAAATTCAGTTTACATGACCTTTCACAAAAGAAAAACAACACTATCTCACTGATAGTAGGCTGTTAGGAATTGTGGGAGTTAAACTCCAAAACACTTGGAGAGGCCAAGTTTGCCCATGCCTGGTTTAGGCCCTGAATTGGTTATCCATGACAAGGGGCTGGGAATGCAGGAAACCAAATCAAATGACTGGCCATTTAAAGATTGTACCCCCATCTTTTTATTGCCAGTTTGCCTCAGTTAAACTAATATCGCTTGTGGTTTGTCATCCACTAAGAGCATTATCCCACAAAAATTAAGCCTTTGGTTCTCTATGGGAGAAAGAGAAGTACTTTGGAGTCTCCAATTAAGATCTTAATATGCAACTTTTCCTGGCTTGTACTTAAAAAAAAAAACAACCTACCTATGCTCTTTATAGACTTTGAAAGCTTCTAGTTTTGTTTTTTGGGGTTTTTCTTCATGTCAGGAGTGACTTGAGAAACTCCCAAGTCACTTCTGGTGTGAAAATTGGCTGTCTGCAAGGATGTTGCCCAGGGACACCAGGGTGTTTTACCATCCTGTAGGAGGCTTCTCTTGTGTCCCTGCATGAGAAGTTGTAGCTAACACAGATAGGAGCTCAACCCGCTCCCCAGATTCGAACCACCGACCTTTCGGTCAGCAGCCCTGCCAGGACAAGGGTTTAACCCATTGCTCCACTGGGAGCTTCTAGTCTAATGTACTCTTGTTTATTTGCCATGTTATTGCTGCCCCATATTGTCATTTTAGTGTCTCGCAAAACAAATGCAGAATCACAATGCTTTGGGTTAGACCAGGCCTGCCCATGGGCCACATGAGGTCCTCCTATCCAATTCATTTCCTTCACTTGTGAGGGAGAAACTTGGCTATGCTGCTCTTCCTTTTTCTTTGCCTCTGGGTTGTCTTGTCATTTACTTCTCTGGCTCCAAATCTTCCTTCTTTTCTCTCACTTTTTGGGGGGGGGGGGAACAGCTTCACAATGAAGCTGTTGTACAGCCTTCATGGTGAAGCTAGTTTTCTTGCTCACAAGTGAGGGAAATGAGCGTGGAGGAGATGGGCAGAAGCAACCCAAAGAGAAAGGAAGAGCAGTGGAGGTGAGACCTGATGTACTTCTTTCCCTTAGAAAAGAACTGTAACTCACCACCAGGCTGAGGAGAGGTGAGGAAACCAAAACTACTACGCTTTGCTGCTTCTTCTGAGGCAGTGGTTCTCAACTTGTGGGTCCCCAGATGTTTTGGCCTTCAACTCCCAGAAATCCTAACAGCTGGTAAACTGGCAGAGATTTCTGAGAGTTGTAGGCCAAAACACCTGGGGATCCACAGGTTGAGAACCACTGGGAGGGCCCTCGCAAACCCCAAGTGAAGTGCTAAATGCCTATCTGTGTCTATTTCAATTTCAGTCCTTTAATACTGCCAAGTTGTGCAGGCCTGGGATAGACCCATTTTGTCATTAGAGCAAATCCTGAGTCAAAATTCAAATGTTGAGAGAATAGATTTCCTTCTCCAGCCCATCCTGTTCCCCACTGTACTGGAGAATCCCTTAATTCCCAGGCAGATCATACTTTTCCCATTCCATTATACCACAATTCTTCTTGGATCAGAAATGTCTTATATATAGAATAGAAGGCCTTTCCCATCCATGATTGAATGTTCTAAATAAAAAATATTTTTAAGTATAATTGAGAATTCCAGACATATTTTAAAAGCCTCGACAGATAAGAGTCTGCCAAAATTAAATGACAAATAGCATCATATGAAGTTCTGAGCAAGGTTTTCATAATAGGTGATCAAAAGGACCTATTCCTAGCAATTAACTTGGAGCAGGTTTTGTGAAGAATATTTTAAGGTTCAGTTTGGATCCATAAAGAAGAAGGGAGCTTTTGGGAGGAAGTGCATCCCCGACAGCATCCCCGACAGCTATTCATATTTTACTTCATTGTCTCCAACTTGTCTGGTCAGCAGTCAGACAGTTTCAAATGGTTTCCTGCCATTTCTACTCATTGGCAATTTGCCTTCTAGAACAATAGGATGTGTTGGTTTTATCTTTTGAGAGGGTTCCCTTTTTGGTTCACATACCAAATCAAATGCTTGGTCATGGTACAGTTCCTCCCAAACCTCCAAAGTATGCTCTGCCCCATAGCAGGAAAAGGATGGTTGTGGTCCATGAAGCCACCTGGAAAACCCTCAAAACACCTCAAAATATATTTTAGCACAATTTGGCAAGATTTTGGCACAATTTGGAGAGATCCAAGTGTCTGTAGTACTTGGCTTCTTGCCACAAAAGAAGCACCAATGTGTGTGGTCTCATGAGGATGAAAATGGGCTAACACGCTTGAGGCATTTGCTTATTACTACTCTGGCTTCTGTGCTATAGCCATGTACAGCTTAATCCTCTTCTAGTAAGTGCCTGATATCAGTGACATGCAGTTTCAGGCAGGTGTGCCTAGGATTGCAGCTTCATGTAAGAAGCATCATAGGAAGGAATTAGGAATCCTCTTGCATGACATTTCCCAGGACTTCTTTCAGGTTCTCATTGCATGAGATCACATAACATAAATAGGCCTTGTTAACAGTTCACACCTACACAAACTGGAACTTGAAGAGCAATTTTTTATTGCGTTTTATAACAATGTAGTGCAAAGGTAGTACTCTCTAAACAATGGTGAACCTAGTCATTGGGTACTTCTACACTGACCATTTAGGTCAGTGTGGGGCTGGATCAGCTCCATAGCGGCCAAATGCTGGACAGAACTGATCTGGGGTAATGTGGTCAAAGGCCACCTTAAAATCATAGAATCACAGTTAGAAGAGACCTTGTGGGCCATCCAGACCAACCCACTTAATATAGCCTTGCCCTACATTAACTAAAGTTGGGGGATAGTTTGTATTCTGGCCCCCCAATTTTGGGCCTGGATTAACAGTTGGGCTGGTTCCAGAACGGAACCAGATGCTACTGTTTCCACTGCCATCCCATGTTTTCAGGTCTTGGGCAGCCTGGGAACCTCAGCCAGGGTCATGGCATTCTGGGAAGGGATTGCCTCCCTTGTCACACCACCCAACATCACTGCAGGCAATGGCTGGCAGGTACTACCCATAGCACAGCTTGAGATTGCCACAACATGGAGAGTGGAAGAGGGTAGTTAGGGTGGTCAGAACTCCCTCCCACATCTGCAGCAATTGGGGGCATCCCTTTGCGGTCCATACTAGGGGCCAATCCTGTATATGCTATACCAGATCAGCCCCAGAATATTGTCAGTGCAGATCCTTGAGTATTGGACATTGTTACTGGGATCACAGTGATAGAACAAGCCCTTTCTGTGGATTTTTTTTTTTGCATAAATATACACACACAATGTGTAAATGATAAGAGAGCCAATGTGGTTTGAGTGTTGGACTAAGACCAGGGTTCATATCCTCACCTATCCACGGAAGCCCGCTTACTGACCTTGGATGATCAAGTCTAGTTTTCCTAGTCATTTTAGAACAGGATTTCTTTTTTCACTCATGACCCCTTTCTGCCTGAGAAATGTTTCCAAGATCCCAAGTGTATAGGTATATAAAAGTATAAAACCAAACATTTCCTGCAATAAATGTTTCCAAGTCTTGCTAAATAGGCTAATTTTCCTTTTTATGAAGTACAGCTCAAGTGATTTCTGCAGAGTCCACTGTATACACTGCATGCTGTTGTTAACAGATTTGTGTAAATGTCTAGGTGGCATATAGAAACTTTTTAATGCTGCCAAATTTTTCATGGTCACAACATTGAGCAGTGATCTAGAACACTCATGGACAACCACACCATCTCATTTCAGTGCCATCTGGAGCTTTGGCATATTTCACATCTGCCATTTGTAGCAACTAGTAGAGATATGAATGGGGAAAGTAGCAAGTAAGCCACATCACAAAGCAATTGAACTCACTTTAAGAGGAGGTCTTTTTACATCTGAAAAATAATGGTTCCTTTAAGCCCAAAAATATGGAGTGGGATGCTGCAGCCTTTCGGGACATCAGTGAGGGCACAAACGATCACACTGGACTCCCCAAAATGCTACATGTAGCCCCCAATTTCTGGTCTAGCTCTTGGAAAACCTATGTTAGGGGAGTGCAACTCCATACCCAACAATTGTCCTCATTTCATTAGGACAGTTCCAAACAGTTCTGTCACCCCACTTTTTTCAGCTGCTCTTAAAATGCCTCAGTTTATGTTCTCCCATTTCCTTCTTTGTGTTCAGCTTACTTCAATCACCACATAGTGAGCTCAAAGTATCAAAGTAGTTAGCAAAGAGGAAAGGCTGGATAGACATCTGTCGGGGGTGCTTTGAATGCGACTTTCCTGCTTCTTGGCAGGGGATTGAACTGGATGGCCCGCGAGGTCTCTTCCAACTCTAGGATTCTATGATTCTTTGAAAGGAGAGAGCAGGACATGGATTCCTGCCCTTCCCAGTAAATTCAGGCAAAGCTGGCTAGCGTGTGTTCCTACTCCTTGACTGCTTTTGTCCTTTTGACCATCCTTTGATATTGTTTGGCCAAAATCCTACCACTGGGAATGCTGACTGAGGATCTTGAGAATTGTAGTATCCCATACCTACATACGCAAACACACAAAAAGCCGGCTTTTTCTAGCTCTTCATTTTCAGCAGATCAATATGATTGACAATGTTGGTGCTAGACTCTCAGAAACCTACCTATATTACCCGGCTGTCTCATGCACCCTGTGGAATTCCCCTATTGACTTCAAGAGGGTTAGTAACAAATCCTGTGGTTTGCAGAAACAGAACTATCACATGAGAACTGACAGACTGCAAGTTAACTCTTCAGTCTCTTAATCCAGCCCAGTGAAATCTCCTTTTCTTCATGCCCATGCCTGTCAATGCCAACTAGAGCTCTTATTCGGAAAGTTAAGGCT